ATTTTTTATTGATTTCAGAGAAGAAGGAAGAGGGAGAGAGATAGAAACATCCATGATGAAAGAGAATCATGGACCGCCTGCCTCCTGCAAGTCCCCCACTGGGGATCAAGCCCACAGCCCAGCCATGTGTCCTTGACCGGAATCAACCCTGGGACCTTTCAGTCTGCAGGCTGATGCTCTATCCACTGAGCCAAGCCGGCTGGGGCTATCATATTAACTTTAAAACATTCAATCCAGTAGCTTTCACTGTGTGCCTCTGTCCCTAACACAATTCTCTGTACATCTGGAGGATCGAAAAGCAACAGACATCGGAAGTGCTGAGCCTCCTTTTGCCCTGCTGGGTCAGCTTCAGCCCTGGACAGGGCAGGAATAGGATGAGTCCCTTGCTGGTAAGACCTCATGCCTTGCCCCCAGCCCACTGCCACTAAAGCATTTATTGGCTCCAGCAGCCAGAGTCTTCCCGAGATGGGAGGCAGGAGGATGGCAGAGCCTCTGTAGCTGCAGGAAAGAAAACTCCTGAGAAGTGAGACAGGGAAGGCGGCAGGTTCCACATCAATAATAACTATTTTGCTCACAGAGGCGCCTCCTTCAGCTGGGCTCAGACCTGCCCTGGCTGGGCGGCAAGGCCCTTCCCTGTGCCCCCAGCTCAGAGGGGACCTTGCTTGCAGAGCGGGCTGTAATCAGAGAGCTTGGGGAAAGAAAAACTGGAGATGATCGGTTACAAAGACGCCAGTTACCAAGGGGGTTGCTAAGGGCTCCGTCAGCTCTCTGCTGCACACAGACTTGAGCTGCAGAAGCGGGCGGAGGGAGCAGGGGTGCGAGAGAAAGGTTGGAGACAGGAGCCCCGTGAAGCAGAACAGTCTCTGGGATGGATTAGAGTGACTGCTGTGAGTTTAGTTTCTAGGAGGGAGAGGGTACACATTTCCCCCTTTACCCCTTTCCCCCTTTGAAGAAAGACAAGCCTCTGAAATACTTAAGCAATGCTAAATCCACATGCATATCACCTTGGCAACAGTTGAACAAGGGCCTCCCAGGAATGGTTCCCGAAGCCCAGAGCCTCAGGGAACCTTTCCAAGCAAAGTGTATTACCTAAGCCGGGGGGCCGCCGGGACCACCGAATCACTCTCTGAGGCAAGGCAAAGACCAGGAGATAGCGAAAACACCCAAAGGGAGGCGTGTCTTCATTTTTATTTAGTGTTTGCATAAGCCTGACCTTAAGGAAGACATTCATTTCTTATATAGTAAGGCGAGGGTGTTGGTGGTTGAAATCTGTGGAATCTTGAACAAAAAATTCTCTAGAGAGTTGGGAGCAAAGCTGAAGGTTTGATAACATGGAAATGTAATTGCCACCTGGTGGCAGCATATCTAAACTAAAGATCCTGAATGTGAGGGGGTGTGTGTGTGTGTGTGTGTGTACTCACCCACGCAAATTCAGGGAGAAGGAAAGATTGGAGTAGAATAAAAAACAGGGTCAGAGCCCAACCTTGCTCCCCAGACCCCCTCCATTCAACATGGTGGGTTTCCCTGATAACCTTCCTACTCAGTGTGTGTTTTAGACTCCCTTTGGAGAAGAGGGCCTCATTCCTCTCCCTTTCCCAAAACTCAACTCAGAAGAGGCAGTTTTGTCCCAACACAGTTAAGTGACCTCCAAAGCAGAGGTAAGGAGCTGACCTAAAGCCTGCACTCCATGTTGGTCCTGAGAGCGAGTGAATGAATGAATGAATGAACACTATCTTCCTACATATGTTCTTTGCAGTGATCATGCATGGTTTCACACTTGTTCTCCAGATGTTCTTTTGTGAAGGGGTCTCTGTCCCAGACTGGAAAGGGCAGTGTCTTGGTCCCCTTTGTCTTCCCAACACCAGAGGAAGAGAGTAGCTGAAACGCAGTAGATGCTCCAGAATGCTTACGGGCACATGGAGATGTATGGATGTGCGAGGGCAGGGGCACCAGAGGCTGCATGAGCCCATGTCTGGGCCGTAGAAACAGCAAGCAGGAAGTGAAATAAGCCAGTCAGAGAAGACTAGTATCACCTGATCTCACTCACATATGGAATCTAAGGAACAAAATAGATCCAGACACATAGATTGTGGAATCTCAGAGGGAAAGCGAAGGGAGGGTGGATAGGGGGGAAGTGATCAACCAAAAACATTGTATGTATATATGCATAACCCATGGATACAGACAATAGTGCTGGTGAAGGCCTGGGGCGGGGGACAGGAGGCAGGGATCAATGTGGGGAAAAGGGAGACATATGTAATACTTTCAACAACAAAGATTTTTTTTTAAAAAGGAAGAGCAAGCAGGGCTGCAGCCACTAAATGGTTTTCTAAAGAAACCAGGACTAAATGTGGGGGTGTTCGATGGAAATTTCTGGTGGAGAATAAAGAATATGGTCCTAGAGACAGCGAGTCCTGGGTTCAAATCTGGACTCCAACAATTGTTAGACTTCGGGAAAGTTGTGGGACCTCTCTGTGCACCAGTTTCCCTTGTTCATAAAATGCAGGTTAATAAACACATTCTTTTACAGTTGCTTTAAGGATTTGGTGAGATAGAGGATTTGGATGGTGGGGATGACACCCTCTCTCCTCACCTCCCTGCCCGGTCACCGCTCTTTCAGAAAGAGTGCCCACAGTCTTTTCAGTCCTCCCAGTTAGGTGCTAAAGGGAGCTTCTACCATTCTTCTCTCTGCACCCCCCCCCCCCGCAAAAGGAGCAACCAATAGCTTTTCTCCTTGTTCTGCTAAACTCCAATAGTGTCCCTCCATCAGGTGACAACCCAAAACACTCTCATCGATTTTCCAAACGCCCTCTAGAGGGCAGTGCCGCTCCCCTTGAGAGTCACTGGTCTAAGTAATGTTGGTTCCAGTGCACACACCTGGGTTGAAGCAGGAGCACCTGCCGCCAGCTCTACCTCCTGCAAGCACCTAACCACCACTGGACCACACCTTCCAGGTGCTGGGTTTGCAGGGTCAAGGGTGCTGCTAGTGTCAGGGCCTGCCTCTGGCCCCCTTGCACGCCCACTCCTCCTGTTGCCAGGCTTCCTCTTGGTGCCTGCTTGTCTACCATGGATGGGAAAACCAGGCCCACCTCCCTGGGGGCCCAAGGCCCTGCTGTCTTCTTCTCAGGCTTCAAGTTGGCAATGCTCAGTCTAGCCCATTCCAGAAAACCCTCCACCAATAAAGCTGATACATTGATGGGTATTGTGTCTTATCTCTCTTAAATCTATATTCTATGGCCAGAGGAAAGAAGTGTTAAGTCTTAGGCAGTGTCTGGAGTACTTAGCATTGGGTAGCAAAAGGTGGGTACATATTAAGAAGGCTCTGAGAGGACTGGCAGCAGGTGCTCCTGCTTCAACCCTGGTGTGTGCACTGGAACCAACATGACTTAGACCAGTGACTCTCAAGGGGCGCGGCACTGCCCTCTAGAGGGCATTTGGAAAATCAATGAGTGTGTTTTGGGTTGTCACCCTGATGGAGGGACACTATTGGAGTTTAGCAGAACCAGGGGGAAAGATACTGGACACCCACAATGTGTGAGACAGCCCTGCACGGGAAGTGTTTCATGTCCCTAATGGCTTTTAAATATCTCCCCAGACACGCAGATAGGCTAAAAATCTGCCTACGATACATATTTATACATATGCGTGTGTCTGTATATACCTGTGTTTATGTATGTGCGCATATATTTTTATTTAATATTAGAAGGCACAGGAAAAGTATGGACAAATATACCCACCAAACTATTACCAGTGCTATACTGGTTTGGTGGGTAGAGTTATATGAACTTCTAATAACAACTCAGTTACATATTTCTATTTTGTTTCAAGTTTTTTTAAAAGATGTATTACTTTTACAATGAAAAAAAAAAATACCAATTAGTGAAACCAAAAATGGGCAAAATCTGTTAAGCAATTTACACACAAAAAAGCATGTTCTGCCGAAACCGGTTTGGTTCAGTGGTAGAACGACCTCTGCGGACTGAAAGGTCTCAGGTTCGATTCCGGTCAAGGGCAAGTACATGGTTGCGGGCACATCCCTGGTAGGAGGTGTGCAAGAGGCAGCTGGTCGATGTTTCTCTCTCATTGACGTTTCTAGCTCTCTATCTCTCTCTCTTTTCCTCTCTGTAAAAAAAATCAATAAAATATATATATTTTTTAAAAAGCATGTTCTGGAGATATATTTTGAAAATTAAGTTTATTATATAGCAATTCAATAAAATCAGGCTACCATGAAAAAAAAGAAAACACTTATCATCTTCTGAGCCCTAAGAGCAAATTTCTTTGTATATAAATGCAACTTGCATTTTTATATGGCTTTAGTATGCACTGAATTTTCACCATTTAGGAACATTCATGTTCTGATGCCAACACTATTGGCAGTATCTGAGTCCCCAATACAATGGGTACGTGTCTGTCAGCACGTGAGGCCGGACACTGGCAGTGAGACTGAGCATAGCCATCTGTATCCAACGATCCCATTATGTCCTCCTTGTGCAGGCACACCTGAGAATTTCCTCATATATATATATATATATATATATATATATATATATATATCAGTTCTATTTTATATTTATCATTCTCGTTCATATTTTACTTCGGGTGTATATTTGATTTCCAGGTTACATTATATATGAAACTCACATGGGGCAGTAAAGGGGGCATTGGTGGAAAGTTGTTTACTGTAAATAGGGCCTGCGGGGGCTGACAGGGTTAAAAAACGCTGATTTAGCATCTCGGATCATGAGACAATGCCTTCCTCAGCTCTGACTGCCAGGACCTTGCTGCAACGTCCAGTCACGCAATGGCCACAGCGGAGGGCGTTTGCAGAAGGGTTCTGCTCGTCTCAACACATGGTGGCAGCTCTAACTTTGCATAAAACAGGATCCTCATCTCTTTGGGGTAAGGCGGCAGTCAGCAGGGACTTCCCCCCTCTGCCAGAGTGAAGAAAGCCTTTGGTCAGCAGAAACATGGAAGCAGAACTGGGCGGTGCTACTCACAGAGGTCCTCGGTGGCGTCGGGGACGAGGGCCGCCATGGACTCATACAGCTCCTCATCGCAGCCCGGGTTGAGGGAGCATTTCATGAGCAAGTCTGTGGACAAGTGGGCCATGGACTCGTACACGTCGTCAGCCTCCTCCCCTTGCATCAGTTCCTCTTTGATGTGACTCTTCAGCATGTCCACCGTTTCCTGAAAGAGAACAGGGGACCCACAGGCACACTGAGGCATCCCAAGAGGGCTTGTGGCGGGCAAAAGGAAGGCTCCCAGGGGTCAGGACTTTGGCCCCCAGCACTAAGCACAGACTCACACATCCAGAAGATGTGTTCATGTCCAAAGACCGGATGATACAAATGTACAACCTTCTCATGAGCACCTATTATGGGCCAGGTCTGATGCTAGATATTTGACTAGACATTGTATGGTATGTCATTCTTTCTACCACAACCTGAGAGAGATGCAACATTCCTGAATTCACAGATGAGAAAACCAAAGCTCATGCCTTTCCTTACATAGGGCCTGCAATCCTGGCTGCTGACCTTCCCACTACTCCCTAGTGGTTCTTCAAAAGAGAACAAATGGCATGCGAGGGTGTAACCCTTACTGACAAGCCATATGGAGATGCAACTGGGATAAATGGGCTGCATCTAGGTGTGTTTGCACTTCTGTGTAGCCAGAGTCCCTCAGGAGCCTCATTCACTGGTCCTCGCTCCTGCCAGCAGACTGCTCCAGAGACCTTCTCCAAAGTGCCTCCTCGGCTTTATACCCTGTGCCCAGGAAAAGAGATGGTCGGGCCAGCTGCCCTCTCCCACTTGGTCTCTAGGTGATTGTGAAGCCAGAGAGCTGGCTTTTCTGAAACCTCTGCACAACTTTTCATGATAAGAAACTTCGGTGTTTCACAATCATTATTTCAGCATCAACCCACAGAGATGCCCATTTTCATCATCGCTGCCCGAAAGAGCTAATCTGTTATCGACACTCCATGTTGATTTCCTCATGAGATCCAAGGAGTGGACCAGCTGTCAGCTGAGAGTGTTGATTGGAGACTCAAGGTCTGGCATTTGGTTCCGATTTGGTGGAAAGAGGAAATGGGACAGTTCTTAGAGGTCATAAACAACACGTAGGGACAACCTTTTGGTACAATGCTAAAGATGCATTGGTGGAAGGGAGTCACAGCCAGAGAACAAGGGTGATATGAGAAATGGAAGCCAGACTAACTTCAGTGCAAGCTGGACATGCATCTCCCAACCTCCCTGTGACATACAGTAAGTAGGCAGCAAGCCCCGGCCTTGGCAGAAAACCAGGTTCAAATCCATCTCTACCCTTACTACCAGTATGTGACACAAGGCATAGTTACTCCATCTTTCTAAGCCCCTTTCTTGGTTGTTTGAGGGAGAGGACAATATTGTCAACTTCAAAGGATTGTGGCGAGAATTAAAAGAGATCATGCATTTGCCAATCAAATAAATTCAATAGGTAGCAGTGATTGCTATGAACACGGTATTGTCCTTTCTAAAAACTACTGGCACGGAAATGAAACACTGCATTTTATTCCTTTTTTTTTACTTCAAAGTAAAGCTGAGTAAACACTCCCAGGCTGTGAGCACCGTTAGCCTCATTTATGTCAATGATGCCCCACACAGGCATTCAGTTTAGTCTATTCACTCAACATACTTAGTCACCCCCAGACTTTGGGAAGACCAGCTTGCACTGATGTTAGTCTGGCTCACATTTCTCATATCACCTTTGTTCTCTGGCTGTAATTCCCTTCAACCAATGCATCTTTAGCATTGTACCAAAAGGTTCTATGTGCCACAGCGAGTCATTGTCTTGCCGACTGTCAAATACAGAGCAGAGTTCAGTTTCTGGGTGGTGTTGGGCTCACTCCTATCTGGAGCTAGAGAGCAGGACAGAATTGTGTTTATTGTTCCTTTTGAGGTCACAACCCCATTCCAGAGGCCTAGATACTCCTACATCCTGAAGATGGGGGGAAACAACAACAAAAAAAAGGATTGAGTCAGGGGGAAGGGCAACTGCCCCTGAGTCAATGGGAGCAAGACTGGGTTATGGAATAAAGTCTGGCCACGGGTGAGATTACCCTCAAAGAAGGACCAGAAGTCGTGATGAAGTAGGACCTGAGGGTCCAAAATCAGGTGAGCAGATAAACTGGGCATATCCACTTTAAGACAGGCAGAGTCTCAGAAAGAGACGAGCTGTCAGCTGAATGTGCAACTTCACGTTGACTCGCTGAAACCGCAGAGTTTTATAGTGTTTCCTACTAAGAAAGGAACCCATCCTAACCCAGTTCACCTGAGCCTGATGGTGAGTGAGAAAGCTGGGAGCATCCCACCAAGGTGCCTAGAAGTGGGTGGGGAGGTGAATAGGGAAGAGGAACAGCATCAAACCTTCAGTGAATTCATTCCACAAACGTCTCTTTAAATTCTTTAAAGATAGGCCTCGGTATTTTACCTATCTTGTCTCCTTTTATCCTCAAAATAACATACGAATAAAGCTATGATTATCTTCCTCTGCATACTAGGAGAGAGAGAGAGAGAGAGAGAGAGAGAGAGAGAGAGAGAGAGAGAGAGAGAACACACACACGATTTCCCCAAAATCATGTGGCTGACAAGTGTTAATATGGGAACTTGGACTCAGGTCCATGTGACTCCAGGGCTTTTTTTTTTTTTTTTTTTTTTTTTTTAATTCTCATCCAAGGACATATTCATTGATTTTTTTTTTATTTTTATTTTTATTTTTAGAGAACTGAGAAGAGAGAGAGTGAGAGAAATGTTGATGCAAGAGAGAAATATTGATCAGTTACCTCTGCATATGCTTCCACCAGGCCAGAGGTTGAACCTAAAACCTAGATATGTGCCCCAAGTGGGAATAGAACCCACAACTTCTCAGTTTACAGGATGACACTCCAACCCACCCAGCCACACCTGCCAGGGCTCCAGGGCTCATTTCTTAAGGCCACACATACAGGTGCCGCCAGAAGAGCCACAGGAGGACATGCTAGCGATGAAATATGACCACCATCTCTGCTGAAAAGGCAGCCCTACGACCACATAGTGCATTTCCAATCCTGGAGCCTCTCCCGCCCTGACCTTACCACATATTCATCGATGAACTGCCGCAGGTCCCTGAAGCCATGCTTCTCGGCAATGGTGTTGGGGTAGTGGCCGTATTTGTTGGCCACACTGTATGCTTGTAGGGCTCCTGGGCATGTGAGCAACAAAGCAGTAAGGTTCTTCAGTCCGTACTTCGCAGCAAAATGCAGCAAGGTGGGCAGCTCTTCATCCCTCTGATCTGAAAAAATGCCAAGAAAACTTAACGGGCAGATAACATTGAAGGCAGAGGGCACCCTTGTTCTGGGATTCGAAGCTGGCATGCCTCAGGTGGCATCAAGCAGGCACTCAGTCGTTACTTCTTGGTTGATTGACTTAACATCTGACAACTTCCCTCAGGGCATCACTGAAGATTATGCCCTCAGGTGGCAGAAGAAATGATACTTTAATTAGCAAATTTAATAATATCCTACCTTCTTTCTCTAGAAGGATCAGAGGATCCTGAGAAATAATACTAACGCAAAAATGTGACTTTCTAAAGGCTTAAATAGCAGCCACAAAGTACAATGGGAACCATGTTTTGACCTCCTCTGCAAATTTCAGAGTACTTTAAAGCAATTGTTTTGTGCTTTTAAAAAGAAGAAGCAGTGCCTGGCCGGTATGGTTCGGTGGTTGAGTGGTCAACCTATGAACCAGGTGGTTGTGGTTTGATTCCTGGTCAGAGCACATGCCTAAGTTGCAGGCTCAATCCCTAGTAGGAGATGGGCAGGAGGCAGCTGATCAATGATTCTCTCTCATCACTGATGTCTCTGCCTCTCTCTCCCTCTCCTTTCCTCTCTGAACTATATATATTTAAAAGAAGTCCATCTTCATAGCTCTTATTCCCAATTTCATAAAGTATGTCAAGTAATCCTGAGTATGCTGCTTAGTCTTCCCCCTGGGCCTTAGTTTTGAACCAGAAAGTATTTCCAAACAATCTTAAAGGGAACTGGAAAGATTAATGGGATACCCAACATGCTAGGAAAGCCCCCAGCACGCAGATGAAACCTACTGAAGGTTCCAGAAGTCTTCCTGGGAAAGCGCAACCTAAGCTGCTACGGGGAGATGAAGAGAATTTAGCCAGGCAAAAGGCAACCAAAAAGAACCGGAAGAACTGTATTCCCGAGTCCAGGTGGCGAGAGGCAGGGTAGCATTTTCATTAGGTGAAAGGAGTCCATGCCTTCTGTAGAGCAGAGCGCAGGAGCCAAGGGAGAGAGTAGAAGAGAGAAATGAGAGCTGAAATGCAGCAGGATCCCTTGGGAAGAATTCTGCAAGCAAGCTAAGGAGCTTGGACTTGTGAACAAAGGGTAGTTTTAGGAAGTGGGTATGGTATTCAGATGTAGAATGTGGAAGAATCTCTGGCTAGCCAGTGCGGAGTGAATGCTCCTCCAAGGAAGGGCTGTAGAGCAGGAAGCTGTTAGATGTACGGGTGGACTCTGTGCTGACCCAGCAAACTGGAATCACCCACGGGTGGCTTCTTGAGGTTTGCCTGTTGGCTTACTTGTCATCATATCTTCTTCTTCCAGCTGGTTGATTCCAAAGAGGTGCAGTCCGCTGGCGGGGATGTTGTTCTTCAGGGACTCCGTGAGCAGCTTATCAAGCGTCTCCGTGTTGTAGGGAACAATTTTGAAGGCCTGCACACAGAAGGGAAGACAGTCAGGTTTTACAACAAGCTATTCCCACCCAGCAGATTCAAGGCTGGTACACCACGAGCTGAAATGACATGTCCAGAAGATCCAGGTTTCCTTTCAGCATCTTTACCTGACACATGAATTCCACAGGATTCGCAGCGTTGGACAATAAATTCCCGATTTCTTCCATGTCAGTGTAATAGCTGATAATGGCTTCGCACACCACCAAGTCCCCAGAATATATCTTCAGAGACACATTCCCAGATGAAAGGGCTGAACAGAAAAAAAGACGCTATAAAAGTGCCCAGGAAGGACAAGTGTCCAGGGAACATTGTTTATGGATTCATCTTTTTGTAAAAAATATTTTTATACATATTTTATTAATTTTTAAAAATATATATTTTATCGAATTTTTACAGAGAGGAAGAGAGAGGGAGAGAGTTAGAAACAGCGATGAGGAGGAAGTGAAGGAAAGGACAGAAGCAGACTAGCACATGACAGGGCTCAGAGTCAGAGGAATTATTCTCATTGGGTCTGAAATTAAATTTTTGAATGATTTTCATGTTTGTTCAGTACTAGAGGTCCAAGGCTGCAATAAACAGGAAGAAGAGTTGAATTTAAAGCAATTTGTATGAAGGCCAGTGGTTGCCAGAAGATGGGAGGGATCCTGGTAGAAATTCCACACTGTGGCCACATCTGGCCAGTAGAACTGATTCACTGTGCTGCTGTCATTACTATGAGCTCTCCCTGCGTGCTCTCATCTGCACCACAGGAAGGGGTTTTGAGGGGAAAAGAAAAAATTAAAAATACCCCAACCACAAAGATTCAAGTCATAAAAGAGGAAATGCGACAAGTAGAGAACATGGAAAAACATTCAACCTCACTAGTAATCAAAGAAATGCAAATTAAAACAATGGGCTACTTTAAAAAAAAACATATCAAATTAGCAAAAATATTTAATGAAAGTGGTAATGGTATAGCAAAATAAACTTGACAGTAGCAATATTTCAGTAAGCATTATTTTCCAGGATCCTTAAAAATACCCATTATTTCAGAGATTCCATCTGGAGGAAATAATCCTAAATACAAAAGGAAAAAAAAACAAAACACATCTGCTAGCTAAGGATGCTCAATATTCATCATAGTTTAAAACGATAAAAATACAACAAGAAATCAGAAATTGCATAAATATGCAAGAATGAGGAAATGAAAAATTAAAAGATAAGACTTATTTTCATCTGAGTATCATGCAGCTTTAAAAATTATGGTTAGCCTGGCTGGCATGGCTCAGTGGTTGAGCATCAACCTATGAACCTGGAGGTCATGGTTCAATTCCTGGTCAGGGCACAGGCCAGAGTTGCGGGCTCGATCCCCACTGGCTGGCGTTCAGGAGGTAGCTGATCAATGATTCTCTCTTGTCATTGCTGTTTCTATCTCTCTCCATCTTCCTTCCTCTCTGAAATCAATAATAAAAAATATATTTTTAAAAAAATATATGGTTATAAGATACAAGTCCAACACAAGGAACTGGCTTTATAACTTATGTGCATCTAAACAATGGCTTATCTTGCAACCAGTAAGCATCATATTATAGAAGAATATTTATTAGTGTGGATCATGAAAGTGGGTTATGAGACAGTATGAAGCCATGTACATAGATGTGGAAAAATACAGAAACCAGTGATTTCCTTTGGGTGGGCATATGGGTAATTTTCTACATGCTTTCCTTTATGATTAATTTATTCTTCGTGTTTTCTATATTGAACACTCATTACTTTTGTGAAGAAAATAAATGTATTATAAAATGGAAAGTTATGCCCTAGCTGGTGTTGTTCAGTGGACAGAGCATGGGTTTCCAGACTGAAGGGTCTCAGGTTTGATTCCAGTCAAGGGCACATGCCTGGGTTGCCAGCTTGATTCCCAGTTGGGAGCATGCAGGAGGCAGCAGATCAATAATTCTCTCTCAATATTGATATTTCTATCTCTCTCTCTCTCTCCCTCTCCCTTCCTCTCTGAAATCAATAAAAATACAAAAAAGCAAATAAAATGGAAAGTTACAAAGTCCATGGCAAAGCATGAGGGAGGGATAGAGAGAGAACAAGTTACAAAGTCCATGGCATAGCATGAGGGAGGGATGGAGAGAGAACAAGTATAAGATGACATTAAAAACAACAACAACAGAATATCAGGTCATAGATACTATTGAAACAACTATGCTTTTAAAAATTGTGAAAAAGGCCGAAAGACTGAATGGTGATCTGATGACTTTTTTCCTGACTTTTCTCTAGCTTCCAAAAAATTTAACATGTTAACTTTCTAATGATACAAATTTTAATATAGCCATTGTTCTCCCCATCGCACATAGATGTGTCTGTCCTTCCTTGTCCTTTAAGCAGAACATGACAACCAGATCCAAATCTCGACTGACCCTTAGCTCAGCTGCTGAGTAGAGACAGACAAGTAAAAGAAAGCAGGAGGGGGCCTCTTCCCTGACATGCTGCCTGCTCTCGGGAGGTACCGGGGGCGACTTACCGGGGGCCTTCACGGACACGGTGTACTCATTCTCCAGCTTGCCCTCCACCCTGATGGAGGGAGCGTCCTCTGGAGAAAATTCTGCTTCCGTCGTCACTCTCTCGTCCAGCTTACATCTCACAATGACGTAGACAGTGGTTTCTGCCTGAAACAGGACACCAGCCACTCATCAGCCCCTTTCCCCTCCTAGGTGCCCTCCTAGGGTGCCCAGCCAGCGGCTCTCCCACGTCCTGAGCCCCAGCCTTCTCTAGAGAGGCTGTTCTAGAACAGGGTGGGTCTGCAGTCCACTGTTTGCTGCAGGTCCCAACGACACAATTTCCAAAACCAAGAGTGAACATATATAAGCCTTTACAGCAGCTGGATGGAGCAAACCTTTGTATGGCGAACCTAATAGAAATGATTTAAAAACCCGAGGCTTATATTTTATATGCCTTATGATTTCATTTTTATAGTTTTCCTTTTGTATTGTGTTTGATAAAAGCATCGGTCCGTGGCAGAACTGGGAATTTAGAAACAAAATTTCATAAAGTTCTTTGCCATAGACAGCCGGGGAAGCACTGCTCTAGACGAGCCTTGCTACCCAAAGTGAGGTCCAGGGACCAGAAGCAGCGGCTTCCCCGGGAAGCCGGTTAGAAATGCAGATGCTCAGGCCCTCCCTAGACCCACTGAGCCAGAGTCTGCATCTTACCAAGACCCCGGGGATGCATGCACCTTACAGTAGGGGAGGCACCTGCCTAGAGAGACTCTTTTGATCTGCAACTGAATGTTGTTCGTGAAAGGACAGAAATAACTTACTGGGGGGTTAATTTTCCAAAGGCACTGAGTAAATTGAATAGTTATTTTGCTTTGCTTTCAGATCTCTTGCCGAGCCTGCCAAAGACAATTATCTTGTTTCACTGGGCTGGGGAATGGTCCTCCAAGACACTGAGCTGGTAAGAACAGCCCCTCCCCTCACCCTCACTTCACCCCAAAAAAATAAACGTGCAAAGGAGATATTATTGGCCAAAGCGAATCCCCAAATGTTTATCCTAAGATTCTGCTGTAAAGTCCTCACAGTCCCCTCATGACAAAGGCTGCGATTCCACCACAGATGAGGATGGGGCGTGGTCCTGGCTCCTGGGCACTGCTGAGGCTGAGTGTGAATGAGCTGTGGTTAACCTGACTCCTGCTGCAGCCCCAGCCAGCCGCTCCTCCCAGGGAATGTGGGGAGCCAGACAGAATGGGTGTGTCTGTTCTATTGACAGTAAGGACCCAACCCCAGCCCAGCTGCCTCCGGACCCAGAGGTCCAAAGTAGGCAACGAGGAGCACAAATCCTGGGTTAGTGAGAGCCTAGGTTGGACAAGGAACAAATGCCTGGAGAATTGGGGAGGCATGTGAAGGGCATTGCTCTTTAGTTCCAAACCCGGCACTGACATGCATCCACCAGCCTGGTCTCAGGATGACTGCAAAAAGGAGGGCGGAGAGAGCTGCAGGAAGCATGCTCCATTTCGATGGCTGCTTGGCCCTGCCCGTCATCTCAGGCCTGGTGTCACCAGATTCTGATTCCAAGAAAGCTGGAAACACAGATTTTTCACGCCTAACTTTCAAAACACTCAGCAGTCCAAAACAACCATGTCTGGGTTCCATCCAGCCCAAGCAGCAGTTTGCAACCCTCATATAGAGAAAGTCCTTGCCTTGTGACCTCTGGCAGCACGGAAAATCACTCCCACAGCCAAAGACACTGGTACTGCCCATTGCCACAGCTGCCTGCCCTCGCCCCAAGGAGCTCACAGTGGCAAACTCAGCAAAGGGCTTGTATGCACAGGGAAGCCTGCTGCTGTTCTGAACTAATATGACACATCGTTCATCAGGAAAAGAGAGGTCATGAGAAACTATCAATACTACAGTCGACTTCAAATAAAGTCACCTGTTGACTTATGCCCCGCCACTGAAAATGATACATTATGCTTGGGCATCAATCTGATCCCTTTAGCAAGCAATATTTGCCTGCACATTTAAGCCATCAGGCTCCATGGCACTCACGTGGGCCATGCCAGTGGCCAGAAAGTGAAGAAGGCAGCTCTCAAAATACATCTCATTCCTTCTTCCCAACACTACGCTGGTGCGGCAGGAACAGAGCAGGGTCTCTAACTCCGCGGGTAGCACATGTGTCCTGTAATGCTTATGTCTGCTGGTCTCCCACCCGGTCTAAGTTTTGGATCCATGAACTAAAAGTCTTAAATTAATGGCACATACATTCCTGGACTTGTCTCTCTCTCTCTCTCTCTCGCTTCAAAGAGTGAGTTGTGCCCAAGGCTCAGGCACTGGGGTTCCCGGGACAGCTACTATACAGGGAACCCCGCAGGAAGGCTGGAATTAGGCTAAGGTGCAACAGGTGAATCCGATTCCTTTTACTCCAAAAAAAAACCCCCCGAATCTATTGAAAAGCCTGAAAGCCCATGTTCTGACATTGATCCACCCGCCCCAGAAGCGCCTACCCCACAGCGGATGCGGTCTGGCTGCACCACCATCAGGTTCCCAGGTGACGTGTCCAGCGGCAGGCTGTGCTGCTTCGAGTAGGGCAGGGCCTTCTCGTCCTCCGTTTCGGTGTCGGTGACTGAGTCACAGCCAGAATCTACAGAACAGAGAACAATGCTGAATGGGATAGAAGGAAGGAGAACAAATGGGCATGTTCCACACCATGAAAGCCCCAAACATTACCAAATGGGAAATGGGTTCTGAATGTTAAACAAATACAAGCTGGAGGGAGTGACTAGGGAAATCAGGAAAGAGAACCTAATTATGAGAAGTCAACCACCACGTAGGCCACAGGGTCGGGTGACAGCGAGGGGCTGAAGTGGAGAGCAAAGTCTGAGGCAGACTGCTGTCTGAGGCCGGCAAGTCCGGTCTTAACCAATAGGCTTCCAGAAGCGTCACCTCGGGACTTACTGCAGGGCTGCCTTTGGTGGTTGTGAGCAAAGAAGGTTCCTTCTTCTCAAGTTGGGTCAAGAACGGACTGTCCATGCTCAGCCAGCATGGCTCAGTGGTTGAGTGTCAACCTATGAACCAGGAGGTCATAATTCGATTCCTCAGGATCGATCCTCATGACTAGCCAGTGGACCCTCTCCAGAGCCACAGCGAAAAGCAATCATTTTCAAAAATCTTAGATCAATGTAACCACATTTCAGATCAGTACTACAGCTAACACCTCTACTAAAGCATGCACTGATTCAGAGCAGGTGAACAGGGGTGTGCAGATGTGTACCGTGTTTCCCCCAAAATAAGACATCCTCCGAAAATAAGACCTAGCGCATAGAAAGATAATACATCCCCTGAAAATAAGACGTAGTGCAACTTTGGGAGAAAAAATTAATATAAGACACTGTCTTATTTTCGGGGAAACAGGGTAGGTAGGCACACACAAGATGGTGTTGAGATGGTGTGAATGGAATCTGCCAGAACTCCAAGGCAGGGGCTTACCCAGGGTCCATCCATTGATAGGATACTTGAGTGAAAGGTTCTGTGTGTGCATGTGTGTATGTTTGCCTATACTTTTCTGGAGACAGTTCTCAGATTTAATCAGATCCTCAAAGAGAGACAATGGTAAAGAATGGTTGAGAGGAGAGGGAAGGCTCACCATCCTTTTCTTGGGCTTGCTGTCTGCATTCCAAAACTACTTACAGAGCCAGCCAACTATGTTAGGCACTGAGAGGACATGAGGGTGAACCAGACATCTATCCTGCCTTCCTAGAACCCACGATCTAAAAGGGTGGCTGGATGGCAGGTCAGGGTTAGCTTGGCTAATCCCTACAGGATGGCCTCCCAAGGAAGGAGTCAGCTTCCTGCAGAGCTTGTGGTGATCTGTGCTGGTAGAAAGCAGAGGCGATTGTGGACATGTCCCCTCAGAAAGCTGTAACCACAGGCATGCACGCTAGACCCCAATTCATGCCAGCAGAGAGCTGTGCTCCCACGATCTTGAAGGCTGAGGTGGGGGATCAGAGCTAGGGATAAGGTCCGAGGCAAGGACCCACAAGACCTGCTCGGCCTGGGGGAGGAGCTAGAGCCTGATGTTTGTGTTGACAGATGTCTACTCACTCCCCCAGAGTGTGACGGACATTGAAACACACAATTCTACTTCTCCTCCCTCTCCATGTTTTCTCCCAAGATGCATTATTCCAGAAGGCCTGGCTTCTTGGGATAGACCAACTACAATATACCATTGCTTAAAAACAAAACAAAAAAACACACACAAAACTCTTTATTTCTTCCAAATTACTGACCCATTTGTCTAACCAAAGAGTCAAAGTTCTGGTAATTATAGTTAACAAAAGAATAAAGAAAATATAAATAGGCCAAATGAGAAAAAGAAAATAGCAGATATGAAGAATTTTTAGAAACACATTGATGTGATAACTCTATACTAAGAATTTTGAAGTTTTCAATAGAAAAATATAAATTGTCTCAAAATACATAGAAAACCTGACTAAATCAATAATTATGGCAGGGGAAAAAGTCCTTGATTTTCAAATAAAGCCACACATTGCTTTTTCCATTGTTTTTTAAATTGTTGCAATGATGTTCTCCTTTATAATATTTATTTTCCTATGTAAGAAAATTATATATATAAATTATATATATATAAATTATATATATATAAATTATATGTATATATATATATTTTTTTTTATTTTTTTTTTACTAAAGTTTAAAAAAGCAACCAAGGGTAGTCTTATTATACATTAAAGTCATAAAAATTAAAAGAACCAATTAAATATAATAGCTCACAAACCAAGTTTCATTCTCATGAAAACATAACACATGATAAAGCATTAAAATATCAGTTTAGAATAAAGAAAATAGTTTGGTGAGAAAAATGGCTCAGCAGATGGTGCTAAAGAAATTCAGTTATTTGGGATGGGTGTGGAGGGGCAGAGGGACTATTTAGAGTCTTCTTAATTCTCATAAATTCCAAGATTAAATTTAGATGAATTACAGATTGAAATAAAAATCAAATAAAACAAATTTTAAAACTTAAAATGATGAGAATATGTTTGAAAGCTTTATAACTGGTTTGGGGAAAGATCTGTTCATCTTAAACACATTAAGAAATACAATCCAAACAAGCAATAGAGTTGATGACATGAATTTAAAACTTCATTAAACAAAAATGTAAAAACATAAAAACTCAATCACCCTACATAATAAAAGTCAAATATGCAAATCAACTGAACGACAGAATGACTGGTCGCTATGATGCACACTGACTGCCAGGGGGCAGACACTCAATGTAGGAGCTGCCCCCAGCCAAGGCAGGTACCAGCAGAAGGAGGGGCATTGCCCCACCAGTTACCCCACAGAGGGAGGTGAGCAGAGGCAGCAGTGGGGTGGAGCCAGCCAGTGAGCAGGTGGGAGGGATGCCATCCCCCAATTGCCCAGCTGGTTGCCTCCCACAGAGGGAGGTGACCAGTGACAGTGACGGGGGGGGGGGGGAGAGGGAGCGGGCAGGACAGGCTGGCTTAGGCAAGTGCCAGTGGGCCCCCCAATCGCCCTGCCAGTCACCCCACTGATCAACCCTGATTGCTGGCCAGGCTAAGGGAGCCCTATCCATGTTCGAATTTCATGCACCAGGCCTCTAGTTATGTTTATAAAAGCATTAGTCATAATAGGGACACGTGGGGAAAACCAAGTGTCCATCAACTGATGAATTGTATTATTCAGACATAAAAAGGGATAAAATATCAATACGTGCTACACTATAGATGAACATTGTAAACACTATGCTGAGTGAAATAAGCCAGCCACAAAAAAACCCCCCACACATATCATATGATTCCAATATATAACATGTCTAGAATAGGCAAACCTATAGAGACAGAAAGTAGGTTAGTAGCTGCTGAGGACTGAGGAGCTTGGATTGGGTGGGGCAAGATCATGAAATGATAGCTAAAGGATATGGGGTTTCTTTCTGAGGTGATGAAAATATTCTAGAATTAGTTGTGGCAATAGTTGCACAAGCCTGTGACTATATATATTGTGTGTGTGTGTGTGTGTGTGTGTGTATATATATATATATATATATATATATATATTATTGGCGGGAAGACATTAACTCAAGAACATATGCATATATGCATGACCTATGGACACAGAAAATAGTGCAGTGAAGGCCTGGGGTTGTGGGAGTGAGGTCAATGGGGGGCAATGGGAAACATCTGTAATATTTTCAGCAATAAATATACATCTTGAAAAATCACTGAATTCTACACTTTAAATGGGTAAGTTGTGTTATGTAAATTATGTCTCAATAAAACTGTTCCCAAAAAATCCCAGGGCAAATCACAAACTGGTTAAACTTTGAAATAATTATGCCAAGGAACTAATCTCCTTTATATGTATTGTCATAGAAATCTTTTTTAAAAACACCCAAAGCCCAATAAATAGATAATTCACAAAGAAAGAAATACATCTTACCTCTCTCTCTCTCTCTCTCTCTCTCTCTCTCTCTCTCTCTCTCTCTCTCTCTCTCCACACACACACACACACACACACACACACACACACACACACACACACATCATTCATTATCACTAATCACCATGGAGTTACAAATAAATAAAAATAACATATTGCTATTTTACCTTTTCAAATAAGGAAATGTTTGAAGATGAGGTAGGACAGATACTCTCATTTGATGCTGACAAAAGCATCATTTGATGCTGACAAAAGCATCATTTGATGCTGACAAAAGCATAAACTGCTACGATTTTTCTGGAAAGCCATGTGTCCATATACTGAGAAATGGAAAGTCTTTTAAATGTTCACATCTTTGGCCACATAATTCTACTTCTAAAAACCTCTCTTGTGGAGGAAAATGAGTGTTCAAAATGTAGAGAAAGATAATGAGCCAAGACCTCTGCTAAACCATTCTTTCCATCAGTGAAAATCAGAAAATAACCTAACTGATGAAAAGATCTTATTTTCCAAGACTTTTAGGTAAAGGTTTACCACATTACGTGAAGCAAAAAAGGCAGGATATAGAATCATACATCTGAGAGTGTTGGATATTAATTATAGAAAGAAAACTTCATTTTAAAAGGTCAGAAGAAAATGTGTGGTTGGATTGTGCATGGTCCTTCCCTTCCTTCCTCTTTTCTTCCTTCCTTCCAACCTTTCATTTACTTTCATATTTTCTACACTGAGAAAGAACCTTGGTAATGGAGCAGGGAAAGAACAGAAAGCATAAGAAGTTGAATGTTTATACACATTAAATGGCATCATAATAATCTGTAAACAACTCAAGGTTCATAAATCTCCCCCTCCACAAGGGAGTCTATATATTATTTGTATCAAAAAACAACAACAATAACAACTATGAATTTTAAATAAAATGAGTATATGTATGTACTTGGATTCATGGCCAGCTACATGAAGCAGCATATTATGTAAGAGGACTTGTGACAGACACCCTATTTAACAATAATGATAACAATAAAAGTTACTATTTACTGACTATTGTGATGACTACTTAGTAGTCTTAATCCTCACAATGACCCTGTGAGGTAGAAACCACTCTCCCATTCCCATTTTATAGACGGGAACACTGTGCCTGAGGATTGAAGTGACCTGACTAAGTCA